TGCTGCCATATTGGTCACTCACATTTGGTACATTGCCCTTTGTTTCTTGATATTTTAATTTCGGTGCTTTTGTATTTTCTTTCATTATAATCCTGTCTCCCAGATGGGAAGCTCCATGAGGGCAGGCAATGTGTCTTGTGCATCTCTAGATCCTTGGTGGCTGACAGGGAACAGCCCTCAGGAAGTATTTTATATATGAATAAACTCACCAAATGTTAGTTTTATTATTTTTTTTTTTACTGAATTACATTGAAACAGCATCATGATTCAAAATCCCACAGGAAGAAAGGAACCATTATATATGTTTTAGTGGCTTAATACTGAATTTTCAAGTGAAGCAAATTGTGGAATTTAGGTTTTACCAATTCTGTGACTTCCCTTTTAATGTTTAATAGACTAAAATTTACCCTAATACATCAAACATACTTTAATACTTTATGTTATGCAGTCAGTCTGACTTTTGAAAATCCATTATATGTATTTTCAGTTTGATTTTCTTTTTAAACTGTTTTTTTTCCCCCTCAATTCAGGAAAGAGAAAAAATACATTGACAGATGCTGGAAAGATGTTACTGTTGGGGACTTTATTCGCCTCTCTTGTAACGAGGTCATTCCTGCAGATATGGTCTTACTCTTTTCCACTGATCCAGATGGAATCTGTCATATTGAAACTTCTGGTCTTGATGGAGAGAGCAATTTAAAGCAAAGGCAGGTGGTGAGGGGACATTCAGAGCAGGTAAAGAATGCGTTCTTAATTGGTGAACAATTACCATTTTTCTTCAGATGAAGAATGATCAATTGATCATTTTTCCTAAAATTTTTGATTACTGTGTGGCTTTTGGCAAGTCACTTAAAGAATTTATTCCTCAGTTTCTTTAGCTTAAAAGGTAAACACTTATTTTTGCCCTTATAGCATTATGAAATCCAGATGAAGTAGTATACTGAAAACATCATACTTAGTGCCTACATACATCTTTTACTTCCCTTTCTCTGAAACACTTGAGATGAAGTATTTTGAAACTTAATATCTTCTTTTCTTGTTCTAAAATATGAACTATTCTTAGGTCGTCTCCTTCATCTTCTACTTGTAAAACAAAGGTTTTTAGACCTAATAATACCATTATCTCTATCTAAATTTCCTCTAGTCACATTGGGCCTACTTTTGTACATAGAAATTTCAATTAGATACTCTTGTGATTGATAAGCTTCTTAGCTTATCGTTAATGTCAGCATTATGAGCATTCCTGTATCTAAAA